GAATATATGAGTACATACGTGCAGCCGTATCTACCGTAGCGGTTATTGGCAAGATGCCTACGGGAAACTCGTCCGAAATCGCTTTTCGAGTCATTAAGAACGAAGGCTTTTCTTCGCAGGTTTTTGACCGTTTCACTTCGTTTTTTCGCCATTTTCTCACTATACAGCGCCCTGCTAGCATTTCAGGCGAGTAGCAAGTTATCGTGCCATTTGTCCTTCAACTATTTTGTTGATTTATTGACTCTAGCTTTCGGAATTTCAGGCGAACGGTAATGGTACGCATAATGCGACGTTTACGGAGTCAACCTTTCTTCATCCTCACTACAATGACCAAAATTACTTGTCAACTAACTCGCATTAGTATTGTGATCCTAACATCGTCCACCGTCCTTAGGACATAAACAGCCCCTGAACAGATTTCTATGATTTGTGACCTTTTTGTCAAGTACATATGGTACTAATGAGGTGAATAGCTCTGAAATATGTCCAAGGAAATAGTTATGAATAATTAGTGGTGGCTTCTGAAAACATTTCTTATGTAATTGTAGTATGATAGTAAAGTATAAAATACGAGTAGTTTTTCTTCTGTCCTCCATTTGTCAAAATTCCTTTTTGTCGTTGATTGTTGATCTCATTCTAGATCGTTGAACACGAAGTGCTCTACTTACCCACTGTTGTGTAGTGAAGAACGATAAACATGGAGCCGTGAAAGTGTAGTTCTCTGAAGCGTGTGTTCTGTTCGGAGCTACTGAAACGACCAATTGCGGTGCTCATACTTGTCCAATACAGCTCTCGCGAATACACCTGCGACTCAAACACGAAGTCGGTTGCGTGGCGCAAACCTGAACAAGGTCAATTGTTCCCAAGCGAGCTGATCTCTTCTACTTTACCAGGAAGATGCTTCCTAAGGACATCTTGAGGTCCTTGAACCAGTTTCGTTTTTGTAAAGGTGCAGGAGGATTTCACTTCTCGAATGGCCGAACTTTCAGTAACAGGTGAACATATGTATAAAATATCCCTTGAATATCCTTGGAGGGTGAGGCGACTGAGTACAGACGTCAATATGGTTTCTGCTAGAGCACGGTCCATTTCTACGATAACCTGGGACTTGACAATGTAATGAGCAATGGAGACCTCCTTGCTGTTGAATACTGCCATCCATTCGTCAATCTGCTCGCAGAGGAGCAGGCAACACTCTTAGACTGTGACGGTTTCCTTTTTTAGACAGAGCCGCTTAAAGGCTACAATGAGGGAAGTCATTGCCATTTGCTGATATTACCTAGGTCATTTACGTAGACCAATTTTTCGGGCATAATTAACACCACCTATTGGACACCCTCAATTTTTTTAGAGTGTATTTCGATCAACGATCGCAGTAGGAAG